CAGTATGAATCCCCTGTCAAATATGAAGTCATGAGTAACAAGCGAAATTGAAGTAGAAAGGAGGGAGTGCCTCAAAACAAGTCCAACTTTCGCTTTGTTAGTTTCCTATAATACAATTCAGAGCTGGAAGAATTAAGTGTCTGAACGTGTTGACAGCAACTGCTGGGCTCATGCCAACAACCGACACGGCCATAAAAACTCAGGAATGAAATTTGATTGTTTTTAATTTTACTACTTTCTGTTTATGTGGGCTTTGTTTATTTCTGATAACACAGATGTTGATGTTGTTTTTCGTAGTTAAGATCTGCCAAATATTTTCTCACGATCTTCCAAACAACAGCTTAACATCTAGTGTTCCAAGTGGTTGTTTGGAAGGTCACGTGGAACGGTGGGCGGGCTCAATGGGGTTGGGGCGGCGCCAATGCTCCAACCTAGGCTCCTAGCGCCTAAACCTTGTCAAATCGCCCCGCCACTTCTGCACATGGTCTGCCCTTGCGTACTGCTGCATATTTGACGGAAAAAGCCAAATTTCGACTAGAAATCCCTAACTTTGCCTTAAGGGGCACTCATAATCACTTCCATACATGGGTGTGAGCAAGCGATAAGAAAAAAAACCGCATCCACCGAACGAAAAAGTTACAGTGGTTCATTCCACCAAAGTACACAGTTCGGAAACGAGTTTTCCAATTTTTATTCAAACACGGAAGATAATCAAATCAATGACGAGCACGCGCGCGACGTCCAACCAAAGCAGACGAACGAGGTGGGCAAGGGCAGTACGTGGCATCGCCCCCTGGGGGTGCGGTTCCTCCTGGATTCCCTTGCTGACCGCCAGGTCCAGGTGGTCCTCGTCCTCCAGGCTGACCTGCTGGTCCTGGGCCACCTACCTTCCCCGGATTCCCAGCGCTCCCAGGACTTCCTCCCTTTCCTGGGGCACCCGCTGGTCCAGCTGGCCCAGGCCCACCGGGGGTGGATGTTGATGAAGTGCCGCCTTCTTCCTGGTGGTCCGGTTCCCCACCGGATCCGGGAGTTCCCGGTGGATCCGGCATCCCCGGGTGGTCCGGCGGGTCCGGCTTGTCCAGCATTACCGGGTGATCCAGAGTTACCTGGCTTTCCGTCAGGTCCCGCATTTCCAGGTGCTCCCGCTGGTCCAGCTGGTCCTGGAGGACCAGGTGGGCATTGAACGCAAGCGGTAGTGCGGCTGGGGCAGTTGATGGGAGCGCTGGTAGCGGTGACATCGTTTCCGGGCTGCCCAGGTGCTCCGGGTTGTCCTGAAATTACAGCGTTCAATATAGATTCCCTGAATGATATCAAAACGCAAACGAACCAGGTGCTCCAGGTTGTCCGGGAGGTCCCGGAGCTCCAGGCGGACAGTTTGCCGTTGGTGGCGTGCATTGGCAGTATGACGGTAGAGCTTGTCTCTTGTTACGGAAAATAGAGCCGAACGGATTCTCACGTGGCTTGCTCGGGGGAGCAACGGACACTTGGAAATCCATCATCTGGCTCCAAGCAGAGTCGGTCTCGACGCGGAACACGGAGACACCGTCGAGGACTTCATCGTGGATCTCGTTGATGGTGTTGTAGAGAGATGGGCACCACAATCAGGCAGGCACGATGGCCAGTGTGGAGCAGGCCGAAGCCACGCCAATGATGAGTTTTTCCTCGAACATAGTGTTGTCATTCCGTAATAACCTCCTGTCTTTATACCCCACAATGTTCCGCCTCAGCGCAATACTTCGCTTACTTAACTAATCAAATTCGCTTGAAGTTTTGCATTAAGGAAACTGAAATTACAGTTGCTAACAATCCAAAGTGCCCGCAACAATCAATGAAAGAACTTTGACCAAATCGGGCTCCTTAATACACATGGTGGAGGAAAGGGAAAGGGTGAACTGCTGAGTGACCAGTACCCTTGAAGGTGTGCCGCGCATTCGAGTTCATTTACAATAGATTCATCAAGACATATGTATGACTCGACCAACCAGCGGTGCCGACAAAAGCACTTATTTAGAATTTGGAACCGCAAGAGGTCCTTGGGATACAACAGAATTGGCTACACGACCAGTTTGGTTGCGTTGGGCAATTATTCACAGCGAGATTTCACATGCAAATGTGCTACTGTACTGTAAATGTATTTATAGATGGATACTCTGCCCGCTGCACTATCTTTCTGCACCAGGTTCACTAAGTATGTATCAGTTTTGCTCCGTCCGCTACCGCGCGCATGTCAACATGGGCTTGGGCAACCGGGTATAGCCGGGGTGTTGCACTTGAGTAGCATGGTGCATTCAATGGATTTCACTGATGGTGTTGAGGAAAACATATACAGTAATTTTTCGTAACTCGTACCACTGAACAGCCATCATTTTTCTAGAATTAACAAAGCTGAGTCCAACTACCATACCCAGTAACGACAATGTGAAGTCATCCTGTCAGGGGCGCCAAAAGCATTGCGAATGTATATATATGATCCTGGGACGCTTGCACCGCGCAGTAAATGCATTTGGTGTGGTTTCTAACTTGAGACTACCTTACGGTGGCCTGGATTACTGGTGATAAGCGACAGCTTTCTGGCAGCGTCCAGCTTCGGATAATTGACAACCTAGCACTGGTCTTCCTCTTTCCTATGCACAAAGTCTCGCATCATTTCTTCCTGAAGAAAACACTGATATCAACAGTGGCTGTTGAGTTGGGGTTTGTTGCTTTTCGAAAGCAGTGCACATGTTGACGACAGCAGTTGTCGAAATGTGGTTTTCGTAGGAACTCGTGAGAGGCAAGTTTGACCCATCTCTTCTGTCAACTGAAGTCGTTGTTGCTTATAGGAATACCAGATTGGTCCCCCGGCAATCGCCGGAACTCCCATCCCTGCGTGAGGTTTGCACCTTCCGTTGGGTCCTCACAGGCGTCAACCGTTCCGGGTGGACAAGATCCCAACGGGGGGGGTCGTATTTTGCCGCCCGGTGAGGGGGGGTCGTAATCGCAGGAGTCGTCGACGCAATACATGCCGGTTTTCATGGGTGTAGGTGGGGAGTGGTGATTTCAGGGAATTGGGAGAATTCAGGGAGTGTTCTCGCTCCTCTTCATCAATACTGGGCCAAAGACGCGAAAGCTATAAATCACTAACCCCTATCCATCCACATAGATGCGATGGAGAGAGTTCCACTGAAGTTTCAAGGAAATGCGGAATGTTTCTACGATGCCGTGATCTTCGCAGCTGTTCGCTCAGACTTACTCCATCAAACGACCACCACCGAAACGTTTGCTTTCGCGATAAAAAAAGTGAGGGTCTAAACGTGAAGGGCTTTTCCAACTAGCAATCACGAACGAGTGCATGGCGCACCTCAGAGCAGGAGAGTCAACTGCGGAAGTGTCCACATTTCACTGTCACGTACACAAATATGCTTTCGAGGAAAACCAATGTCTTCAAACTAGTTCTAATCTACGTGAATAACTCGATTATTTAGGATAGATTGCCTACTGAGGGCTTACAAAAACGCATGGAATATTTATTGCTTGTAAGCACCACAGAAGCATTGAAAACTGCATAAAAGTTGGAAGAAGTTATACTGTTTGATTCACGTGTGAAGTACACCAGCTGAGAAAATCGTAGACCTCGACGTTTCGAGGTCTTCTTTCGATGAACGAATCATTGCAGAATTGTGCCTTTTATTCAATCCATGCTCGCTCATTGAGTGCTGCACATGCAGTCCAACAAGCGCTCCTCTATCATCTGGAAATGTGAGGATTGAAATGTGATGCTAACAAAAGAAACATATTTGGGAAAATTACTTGCGATGGAATCCTGGACATGTTTCATGAAGCTATCTGATCTTTCAAACCTAGATGGCATGTGCTTGACAAGTCCGAGGCCGGGGAGTGGGCTCACCCATTGCTTCGCTAAAATTCTGGGCTCAATGTCAGTACACTAGGTCCGTCGCGTTGTATTCTGAAGGAGGAGGGAGAGAGTTCCACTGAAGTTTCAAGGAAATGCGGAGTGTTTCTACGATGCCGTGATCTTCGCAGCTGTTCGCTCAGACTTACTCCATCAAACGACCACCACCGAAACGTTTGCTTTCGCGATAAAAAAGTGAGGGTCTAAACGTGAAGGGCTTTTCCAACTAGCAATCACGAACGAGTGCATGGCGCACCTCAGAGCAGGAGAGTCAACTGCGGAAGTGTCCACATTTCACTGTCACGTACACAAATATGCTTTCGAGGAAAACCAATGTCTTCAAACTAGTTCTAATCTAGTGAACTCGATCATTAGGATAGATTGCCTACTGAGGGCTTACAAAAACGTTTGAAGAAAAAAAATTGATTATATACAACTTCCTAGAAAGGGTATAGTATTTATCATGAAGCACAATATTTGTGCAATGTTATATTATCATTATTTCGCATAAAATTGAGTTCGGAGGTGAGAGTGTTTAAGTGTCGAAAACTATTCAGGGGAGTAGCTACGGAAACTTGTAAAAAATTGAACGGTCCAACGGAGCGATTCTTTGAACGGGACATTTTAGAAACGAGATTGAGTATTCGTTGGAAAGCACCAACCTTCTGGTTTCCTTCAGGGGGACAAGAATTGCCAAAAGTCAAATATGAAAGAAGTTATAACATTTTGAAGCAAAACAACCTGCGCTCCGCAAAGAATCGGTCCGCGATCCACATTGATCGGTCCAACGGGGCGATTTTTTGACTCCTTCGATTTTGGAAAGAGCTAAAGTACTCGCTGAAAAGCCCAAATATTCCTGTCTAACCCAGGGGGACAATGATCGGAAAAGGTTCATTTTGAACAAAGTTATAGTCTTTCAAAGCCAAAAAACCCGGTCTTGGGAAAGAAACGGTCCAACGGGGCGATTTTTTAGAAAAGCGGGACTTTGCAAAACTTCAAATACTTTTCAAAAAGATAACGATCTGCGCTCTTGAAATTTCTATATCACTTCTCACAGTTTCATGTTTGAAGGAAATTACAACCATTCAAAATAAGAAATGCGCTAATCTGATGAGTTTCTGTTTCTCTACCCCATAACTAATACAGTATTGATGATTGTGCTCAAAAAAGGTAGCGCCCAGAAAGCAGCAGTCTCGTACATCACAGCTCCACTTCGAATCCTGGAAAATACTGACGTGAGCCTGAAAAAGATTCATTTGAAAATTTGTAGTCCGCTTCAATCCAATCGGCGTGGGGAGCATTGTGCGCGCCAACGCGAACTCCGCGCCCCGATGCTGAGGCGGGAGTCCTCAGCATTTGAATCAAGCACATTGTGTGCTGCCCATTGGGACCTTTTTCTTGATTCTGTTTTGAGCTCCTATGCTAACTTGTCGTGTCAGTCAATATAATGTGCTGCTGGAGTGCTAGGGATTAGTACATGTTGTCAACTCGCTGAAACTACCACTCAACGAGGGTGAGGGGTTGTTTCAGCGAGTTGACAACATGTAATGTTTGGTTCGCTGCCGTTTCCGTGATTTGTTGATTTGGCTCAAGCGATGCGCTGTTGAAATCTGACTTTTTGGAGTGGAGTTTCGCTGTGCAGTTGATTGTCATCTGACTGGTTTTTTTTTAAATTCGTGTGGGCGAGGTTCACTTGGACAGGATGCGCCTTTTTCGCGTAGCGCATCGCGAAACATTTTCCGCTGCAGGAGTCTCAGTCCCCCGCTGATCATGAGTGGACTGAGGTTCCTGCACCGGAAAATGTTTCGTGCAATGCGAAATGAATCGACTGCAATCAATGAATCAATCAATTGCAATCAACTGCATAGCGAAATGCACGAAATATTTGCTCGTCTGCTTTCTTTCTGATTTGTGCGGGCGAGTTCTTTGAGACAGAAAGCACTTTTCGCGTATCGCATCGCGAAACATTTTGCGCGGCAGGAACCTCAGTCCACCGCTGATTATAAGTGCATCTAGAGTTCCTGCAGCGGAAAATGTTTCGTGCTACGATGCGCGAAATATTCGCTCGTCCGCTTTCCTTCTATATTTAGATTTAGATTTAGATTTATTTTTATTGATTTTATGATTTTTATTGATTTTTTTTATTGATTTTTTTTATTTTTTTTTATTTTTTTAGATTTACTAGCAAACACATATAGACAAATTATAAGTACACATAGACAAGGATAAGGTGTGGGGGGTCGTATCAAGGCTCTCCAGAAGGGGGGGGCGTCGAAAATTTTTGAAAAACGTGTCCAACGTGACGGTTGACCCTGGTCCCACCCATTCCTTGGCACCAAAACTCAAGTACCGCGCATGGCCAGAAAAAGCGTGGTTATATATTGTCAGAGGGCTCATAACAATTACGACATGACGCCATAATTGCATACCAGTACTTAATTGTGTCCTGGCCTTGTTGAGAAATGTTCTTACTCCTCCTATTCTTATCCCACCCTTCCCATCCACTGCACGTAGCGTTAGAGGTAACAACAGCCCAACCCCACCCCCCCCACGGGAAATATCACAGGCCATCCATAGCAAAATAAACACTGATTGCCGTCAATTTCCTGGGAGTACTAGATTTTTGTAAGCGGCCTTGGTTTATTCCATTAGCTGCCTTGTCACTCACTTCATTTTGCGGACGGACATACATACATACAGACATACATGCGAACCGACACACCAAGTTGGCGGTTTATAATAATAAGAACGACGCAAGTTTGTGACCGCCGAAGTAAAGTCTTGTTAACCCTCAACCATGATTAAATTTATCGTTCTCTGAGGAAATTTGGAAAGTTTTCGATAAAGACTTTCCTCAACATTTTGAATCTTGATCTTGTTTGTTTTCCATACAATCGTTCGACCACATTTTTGAATTCTTCTCCATTTAGGCAGTCGAACGGCTTGGGCCGCGTGAAAAGTAAACGGATTTCTGTAGATGATGAGAATTTTTGCGTTACACCATACACACGAAGCAGCTCGGGTAGGTAGCTCAGGTATACGTGTTCATAAGTAGTCGCAGTTGAAAGGCATGATTGGTTGGACAAGCTCATCGACAGTACTACCTACCTCACAGCGCTCTGTGTGCCCTATCGATATCGACAGACCGTTGAAGCCATGGCTGAAGGAAGCAAGGCCTAAACCATGCATAGGATTGGATGAGAAGGTAGCAACAGTACGCTCATAATCGCCGTCTTTGAAAAATGTTGGATTCTTTCGATTTGCTTCACTTCTTCGTTGCTACACGACGAAGGTTGCAGAGCACGAAAATATCGACCGGCCAGCTTAAGGCCGCTACATATCAAAACTTCGAATCTCGTTTGGATGTGTTCTGTCCCAAATGTAAAGGTTGCCCCCAATACTGAGCGCATCCAACGTTTACTCAACGAAAGAAATGTTGAAAACGAAACCTCGTGACACTCAGATCTCAATTCAAGTCTCAAAAAGCGAGGAGAGCATTTACTTATCTGAAATGCTTACAAAGTTTTGTATCATGAAGGCGAACAGTACTTTTTAAATGGCCACAGACATCTCTAAATTTCCGATTTCGGTATGAAAAATGCAATATGAAAAACCCATTCGCCAACCCTATATTTTAATACGCCAACTCAGTAATTTTTTATGTTGGCCAACAGAAGGATTGAGGATTGGAAGCGTTGTCTGTGCCTCAGACGTGAAAAAATCCGCAACTGTTCTACAACTTTGAGAATAAGAAGGGAATTGTAATTTTGAACTCTTTTTGAATTTCGCTGCGGTTTCCGAACAAACGAAATGAGAAATCATTTATTCACTAAATATCGACGACTGATTAAAAACTATGGAGGTTTTCAAGCATTCGAAACTGTGACTTTCTCAAGACTTAATGAGTGTAACGAGACACCAATGTAGCTGTGCGAGGTGGACATGGGCAGTATGCTGCATCACCTCCAGGCAAACCAGGTCCTCCTGGGCCTCCTGGTTGACCGTTAGGTCCAGGTTGTCCTGGTGCTCCGGGCTGTCCGGCTGGTCCAGGCGCTCCAGGGTTTCCTGGTGTTCCTGGCTGTCCAGGGGAGCCGGCATTTCCTGGAAGCCCCATAGGTCCAACACTTCCAGGTGCACCAGGGGTGTTGGTTGATGTGGTACCGTCCTGCCCGCGCTGTCCAGGTTGTCCATCGCTTCCTGGGTTTCCTGGTGATCCTGCGTCTCCGGGTGGTCCCATAGGTCCTGGCTGTCCATCCTGACCTGGAAATCCAGGCTGTCCAGGATTTCCATTGGGTCCTGGGCCTCCGGGATTTCCATCTGGTCCAGGTGGTCCTGGTGGTCCGGGTGGGCACTGGATGCAGCTTGTGTCTCGAGGTGGGCAGATAATGGGAGCATAAGTTGAAGTGTTGTCGTCACCGGGTTGACCAGGCGCTCCAGGTTGTCCTGAAATTTGTAATTTAGTTGTAGGTCAGATCAAGCGATTAGATAAGAGAATTTCAACCTACCAGGTGTTCCAGGCTGTCCAGGTGGTCCAGGAGGTCCAGGTGGGCAGTTGACTGTCAGAGGGGTGCACTGGCAGAACGAAGGGAGACCAGCCTGTCTCTTGTTACGGAAAATGGAGTTGAAGGGGTTCTGACGCGGCTTGCTGGGTGGTGCGACGGCCACTTGCACGTCCATCATTCGACTCCATGCAGAATCGGTCTCGACGCGGAACACTGCGACGCCTTCGATAACTTCATCGTGGATCTCGTTGATGGTGTTGTAGAGCGATGGAACCACAATCAGGCAGGCAACGATGGTCAATGAAGAGCAGGCCGAAGCCACGCTGACGATGAACTTTTCCTCGAACATTATTTGCTGTCTATTCGAGACATTGCTGCGCTTTTATAGTCAGCACAGTTGCAATTAAGACCTGGACTGGACTGAAACCTGCACTGTTTACATGGGAACCGAAATCATCTGGCGTCTCATCGTTGACCACAGCGCCATTAAGCTAAGCCTTACGAATGTCAATCGAGACTGGGAAGAACTTTGCCAATCAAATATTGTATTCCCTTTATTCGTATTCTTCTTAGGATTATTTTAAACCCCAAGAATTATTCATGGAGCAGATTTTGTTATGAACTTCTAGCCCAGTCCCTTTCCAGTTTTGCGTTTTCGATATGCATTCCTTAGGGGCTAGAGTACGCCTAGTGGCGTAAAAGATGAACAACCTTGCCAAGGGTGCAAGAGCTTTTCAATTTTCCAAGATACTTCATTTTAAGTTTTCAACGATAGTGGACCAGTTATTTTCAAGAATCAGGCATCGTCATCACCATCATCATCATCGGCAGGGTTTAAGTTCCCTTTGGTCATACATGTCATGGCCCCACATGTTTAGCTAGCGACATGAACGAGATCTAGGTTGGATTCCTCAAGTTCTCAGCAAAATCGCTTTTGTTCGAACTCAAGTATTGGACTTTCGAAGTGAACATCGAACCTATACTCAGACTTCATTCCATTACCATCATTCCCGTGCTCTGTTATTATATGAAAGCGGGCTTACAAGCGTTCCCACTAGGTTCAGGTATGAATTAATTCCCTAACAACTTGGAGCACCTAATAAGTTTGCACTTTCGTACGCCCCGTACAAAATTCAAGGGTACCTAGACCACCTGGCCGCTTTGGTGAGCGGGATAAACGCTATCATCTGAGGCTCTGTTGACTGCCTTGCCCCACACCACACATAATCAGGCTGTCAACAAATCGCGTGCTCTGATTTTTTCCGATGTCTTCTGTGCTATGTTTTGGCTCATGTTAGCATAACATGAAGACTTCGGAACATAGCGCAAGATAGTTTAGATTAGTCCAACTACCTCGTGTTACTAGATATCCAGGCCCGCTGGGCATTCGAAATGGGATCACTTCACATGTGCATCAAATTGGCGCTTTCGGTTTTACTGGTGGTCGTAATCTTAAAATAGTTTCTTTGCCTTTGTTCACACTCAAACGCCACGTGTTTTCACATAAAAATCCTTGCGTTTGTCGAATAATAAAGTTTTCTTCGTCAGTTCTCATTCCTAGCATTTCAAATTAAATAACTTGTGCAGCCTGCCCACTTAAACATTGCCGTCGTGCGCCGTAATGGACTGAAAATCGTAGCCGACCCATTCGGCGGGTCTTTTCAGTTTTGCGACGAAAGCTAAGAGCCGGAATTCACGCTCTCGTGATTCATATAGCAAGTCTGGTTGTATTTTCGGAATTGTCTATCAATGTATGGAGTAGAACTTCAGAGCTTGGGTAGCGCCAATCCTAATGTTACCTCCAAGAATTCGTTACGCCATCGTTTCTGAAGTAGAGCACCCAAGAGAATACTGCAAATGGCTCACACCTCGTATTATTTGGCCTTTGGCCACCTCCAACCTAATTGTTGCGCAACAGCGGTCGCATCTTCTGAATGAAGTAGCCCGACCTTCCCGTTAAGGTTCAGACGCCGATATTTTAGCAAATTGACAGCAGCATGACGCCGTTCCGCTTCGCGTCCTTACGGTGGAGACTGGGTTTTCTTTGATTATCTGGCCTTTCTCATGATTCAAAGTCATGCTGCCATTGATTGGATTCGCAAAACAATATATTTGATGGATCTATTGAAGGTATTAAGACTGATAATGTTGTTGGTTGTCGTCACTATCAAACGCATCAAACGCACGCAATGCGTCGCAAATTTTGTGTGAAATTTGTCTTGAAGTGTAAGATGATATGTTGCGTATTGAGCCGTTTTGTGCAGCGGAGCCAGAGTCAAGCGTGCGTCGAGGAATCCTCCGCAGATGGACAGGCGGGGGGGGGGTAGGTTGTATGTGGTCCGCTGGGAGAAAGGGGTCAGGCCGGTTCGATGTAGTAATATCATCAGTGTCATGCAAGCCTGGCCGAACGATTCCCTATAACAATGTTATTAAGGTCACATAACGTTTTCCTGCTTGGAAGGAGTCCGCGAAGTAGTTCTCAGCTACTTCAGTGATTTACTAGGGCAAGGTTAAAACGAGAGATTACGATAAAGTGTGTTTGTAGCGTGGAAGTACATGCACCAGTGGAAGCAGAAGGCAGGGG